TGGCCCCCCCATGGTCAATCGGCTGGTCCCATCAGGCTAGGGTCAACTGAGTACCAGTGTTGAACATTCTCAATGGGTGCATCCCCTCTTAGGACTCCATGGTGGGTAGGGTCAGTGGGCTCTGAATCTCCTTCTTTTTATTATGGATCCCCCAAATAATGAAAAAAAAAATTCGGAAATGTTACAGGCAGGGATGGTAATAAGCCATGGTGGAATAGGCTGATCATTGAAGACAGCAATGTCATCCAATGCCAGACCCAATTCAGCCAGTTGTGCCCAGATACGAAGGACAAAGGGAGGAATTGCAGACTGTCTGTTCTGAAAGAGCACAGCCCACCGAGGAAGAAAGACACAATCCCAGATGGGATGCTGTGGTAAGGATCGAAGTTTGGTAGCATATTGTAGAGAAAATTGCACATGATGGAGGTGAAGAGAAGGTTTATGAGACTTAGTGTACAAAGCTCCAATGCAGAGCTGAAGCCCCAGATGATGAACGCCGTGCAGCATCTTCAAGGCCGAGGTCCTGGCAGAACTATAGACCAAAGACCCATAGTCCAGTTTGGATTGAATCAGGGCATGATAGATCCTGAGCATAGAACATCGATCTGCTTTGCAAGAGGTGGAAGAGAGGACACGGATAATGTTCAGAGCCCTTGTACACTTGACACGTAGCTGCTTGATGTGTGGAATGAGGATGAGTTTAGGGTCAAAGATAAGCCCAGACCGATGAAGAACAATTTTGAGTTCCACTGGTATAAAAAGGCAATTATAGTCGTAGAGACAATCAGTGGGAAAGGAAAGAGGTGATTGCTCTGCCCGAGATTTGATGGCCAAGAAGGCAGGGGAAGAAACAGAAGTGCTAGAAGCACAAGAAAAGCTGTGTCTGAGAGCATCAGCAATGCTCTGTACATCAGCAACTTCCTGGCCATTGGAGAGCAAAACAGAAAGAGGATGGGAAGCATACCTCCCAGTGATTTTTCAAATATTGTTCCACACGGTTTTGGAACTGGTGGTAGAAGAGATGCTAGAAGTAAATTTAATCAAAGACTCCTTTTGGCTTTGACGTCAAACCTGCCGAGCATGAGCACGGGCCTGCTGATAAACTATGTGGCTAGAAAAAGAGGGATACTGTCAGAAGATATCCCAGGCTCGTTTTTGAGCCTTCCTTGCCTCCTGGCAGGCAGGACTCCACCATGGATAAGGATACCATGGAAAACGTGTCGAGATCTTAGGAATAAAGTGAGAAGTTGCCTGGATGAAACAGTCAGTCACTTCTGCCACACAGTCATCTACTGATGGCAGATAGACAATGGCATGATCAAGTTCAGAGAGAGCAGTGAAAGAGAGCCAATCATCCTGGTACAACTTCCATCGTGGCATTCGGGTCAGGTGGCATCAACCACGGCCAACTCAAAACCGTCCAAGAAAAGTGAAGGGGGAGCAGATCAAGAGATCTATAGCAGTGAAAGAATGACTAGGTGCATGAAAATAAGTACAAGATCCAGTATTGAAGAGAGAGCAGATGCTCGATGGAACGACTCCTCCCATCAATAGCAGCACAACCCCAGAGATGGTTGTGCCTATTAAAGTCTCCCAGGATTAAAAAGGGAAATGACAACTGTTCAACGAGAACATCAAGGTCCAATTGATCATAAATCTCATGAGGAGACAGGTAGAGAGAACAAACAGTGATAGCACAACCCAAGGAAATATGGATGCCTAGAGCCTCCAAGGGTGTATCGTGTGACACAGATAAGGAGGGCACATGCTGGTCGACCAGCAATGCCACCCCTCCATGCACTCGACCATCACACAACCTGTCATTCTGGTACAAAGAAAACTGCCAAAAGGTGATTGTATTGGGAGGTTTCAGAAACGTTTCCTGTAAGGAGAGACACACGGGATGATAGGAATCAATCAAGGCCTTAATGTCATCGAGATTAGAATGAAAACCTCGACAGTTCCACTGTATCAAAGTGACCATTTTTATTTAAGTGCAGGAGAAATGGGTGGAGAACCCTTTGGTTTACAACCCCGCCATTTTTATTTACTAGAAGGAGGTCTATCAACCTCAATGGATCCTGCTCTTGGTTGAGTGGGCAGCATCTTGGGGCTAAAGAAGAAGGACCTAAGCAGACACCGGAGGCCAGTGCCACAGGAGGTGGACCCAGGCAGAGATTGGAGTAGACGTAGTCTTCAAGGCATGGTCGTTTACTAATGAGCAGAGTTTTACTTAAGTCATCTGAGGAAGGCGGATACTCCCTATTGGAAGTACCACCACCTTTTTGCTGAGCATCTTTCTAGCCATTCTTCTCTTCCTATTTACACAGATGGTTCAAAATCGGGTGACTCTGTGGGCTCTGCTGTCGCTCGATAGTTGCTCGCAGGATCCCCTCTACAGTTTCAGTGTTCACTACCGAGTTGTATGCTATTTCTCCTGCCCTGGATCAATTAGCAGTTATGCAGTAGAGCAATTGTACTATTTACACAGATTCTCTTAGCTCTCTACTGGCCCTGGAATCACTTAGAAAGAAAAGGAAGGAAATTTAGATTTATTAGATTTTTTTTTTGGTGGTTATAAGGTCAGTCAAATTCACTAACCTTGTATAGAATTAGGGTGGTAAAAATAACAGACAAAATATATAGTTTTATTGAAAACAAACCCTTGAAATGTATTTAGGAGGTTTTAGAGATTAAATAAATGAAATTTGAGATTTTTGATATTAACAAAAGTGTTTTTAATCTTAACATGAAAATTACTGCATACGAGCTATTCAAAACAAATACTCTATATATTTAATGACAAATCCTTTTTTAGTTTATTATAAATACTTTACTAAAAAATATGATATTTTGTATGTGGAAGGCTTATAATGTTTATTGAAAGACTGCCAAATTTTGTGAAGATATACACACCGTATCAAAAGTTGGTAGTATCACATCTATAAAGACTAAACGAGTGGTTGGTCAAATTCACCGAGCTTGTGTAGATAGAGTTAATGCATTATACAACAGTACTTGTACTGTACACACTGTTGCTCAGAAGATAACTATACAACAGTACTTGTACTGTACACACTGTTGCTCAGAAGATAACTATACAACAGTACTTGTACTGTACACACTGTCACTCACAAGGTAAACTATACAACAGTACTTTTACTGTACACACTGTCACTCACAAGGTGAAACTATACAACAGTACTTGTACTGTGCACACTGTCACTCAGAAGATAACTATACAACAGTACTTGTACTGTACACACTGTCACTCACAAGGTAAACTATACAACAGTACTCGTACTGAACACATTGTCACTCAGA